CCGTTTGTAACTCATCGAAATAATCATTTTGGACCCAACAAGTATATATATTCTTGATCAGCGTAAAATTCTAAGACGATTTAGCCCTGTCCGTCCGTCTCTACGTCTGTTGTAATCACGCTACAGTCTAAACGAATTAAGATAGGAAGCTAAAATTTTGCACAGATCTCTCTTTTGTCTGCAGGCAGGTCGAAGATGGGGTATATCGGTCCACGATATCGTATAGCCCCCATATAACGGTACCCCCGATATTTGGTATTTTGATGATTTTAGCCACATTTTTCAATGGAATTGTCTGAAAATCCACACAAGTAGTTCCTTGTGGGTACTTTATACCTCGGCAGAGAATTATCTATATAGGTCCACGATATCGTATAGCCCCCATATAACGGTACCCCCACGGTATTCGGTATTTTGATGATTTTAGCCACATTTTCAATGGAATTGTCTGAAATTCCACAAAAGGAGTCCCTTGTGGGCATTTTACCCCCTCAAAAAGAATTGTCTATATAGGTCCACGATATCGTATAGCCCCCATATAACGGTACCCCCGATATTTGGTATTTTGATGATTTTAGCCACATTTTTCAATGGAATTGTCTGAAAATCCACACAAGTAGTTCCTTGTGGGTACTTTATACCTCGGCAGAGAATTACCTATATAGGTCCTCGTTATCGTATAGCCCCCAAATAACGGTAGTTCCTTGTGAGTACTTTACCTCCTGAGAGAGAATTGTCTATACAGGTCCACGATATCGTACATCCCCCATATAACAGTACTCCCCTATATTCGGTATTTTGATGATTTTACCCACATTTTTCAACGGAATTGTCTGATAATCCACACAAGGAGTTCTTTGCGAGTACTTTACTCCCTGAAAGAAAGTTGTCTGTATAGGTCCACGATATCGTATATCCCCCATATAACGGTACCCCCGATATTCGGGATTTTGATGATTTTAGCCACATTTCCCAATGGAATTATCTGAAAATCCACACAAGGAGTTCCTTGTGAGTACTTTACCCCCAGACATAGATTTGTCTATATAGGTCCACAATAGCGTATATCCCCCCATATATCGGCACCTTCCGATATTAGGTATTTTAACGATTTTAACAGAATTTTCAATGTATTTTATTTTTTTTTTTTTTTTTTTGAATATTTTCTAATTCGTTCCAAATGGTGGAGGGTATTCAAAGTTCGGCCCGGCCGAACTTACTGCTTTTTTACCTGTTTTTTTTTTTTTTTTTTTTTTTTGAAAATTGCCAAATTTGTGAAGGGTGAAGAGTGTTCAAAGTTCGGCCCGGCCGAACTTACAACGTGTTTACTTGTTTTAAATAAAACTCTCATAAAGTGCATTACGATCTGTAGATCTGTATAAAGAGAGTAGGTCCAATATCTATGGTACGTCCACCGCAAAGGGTATATATCAATATATGGTCATATGATGAAGGTACATATCTCTCCGAACACTGACTTAAACTTTCTAATAAATTTGTAAGATAGGAAGAATTTTTGTCTATAAAAAACATGTTTGTAAGTTACCATAGCGTTTGTATAAGTTTAGTTATTTTATATGTCTCCAGGTACTAAATTTTAGTGGACTAGAACTTTTATCGGACGGAGTACGGAACTTATTTCCAAACCACCGCCAAATTTCATAAAAATCAATATTTCAGAATTCTAGATCTATTCCTTCACCCAATATCAGATATAGTTCAATTCAGTACTTTTCGTACAATACACACACACTTTTCGTACATACAAAACTACCTCCATATCTCAATCGCGGATATCAACAGAGATCTCAATATAAAATTTCGTGATTCTAGCTCTATCCCTTCGCTTAATACCCAATTTAGTAACATTTAGTACACCTAACCAAAAAAATTGGCATCTCTCCATCGTAGATACCAACAGTGATCCAATATTAGTACTTTTCGTACTATCGTACACATTTACATATCTCAATTCCAGATACCAACAGAGGGACAACAGAGACCTCATTATCATATTTTGGAATTACAGCTCTATCTATTCACCCAATACTAAATTTAGTATTTTTTATTTATTTATTTTTTTTTGTTTTTTGTACAAATACTGGTCGTATTTCCAAACCAACGACACATCTCAAACACAGATACCATCAGTAATCTAAATATCAGATTGCATTGCATCCCTATCTCCTCACCCAATACCAAATATAGTACCAGACACTATTTTTGTACAATTATAGTACATATTTCCGAAACCCCTAATTATGTCCATTCTACACATGGACAGCGATCCTACTACCAAATTTAAGATTTCAAGCACTATCTGTTCACCCAATAATAAATAGTACCAAATATAGTAATATTTAGTACAATACGGACACCATCTATTCCAAATATAGTGCCATTTAGTACAGGTCGCACACTTAATACACATTTCCAAAACCACCTTCATATATCAAACTTACTTTCCAACCTTGATTCTCATACCAGATTTAAAATTTTTAGCTCTATCCGTTCATATAACACCAAATGGTTCCATTTAGAATTTTAGTAAAATTTTAGAACTTTTCGTAACCTTAACAATCGAATTTCCAAAATCCCTTTGGTACATCTATCCGACACTCCATCAGTGACTCTCATTCCGAATTTCAGCTCCCTCCATTTTTTCAATGAAACGTATGCAACAATTTTTAGTACATTTTAGTACTTTTCGTACCCTTTTAGCTCAAATTTGCAAACACTCAGCCTTATCACTGCCTACGCTCAGAATGGTTGGTATTGAAAATGAGATATAAAAGTTTTGGCATAGTCCCCATAAAACTTACCTGCCTATATTCAATATTTTGATAAAAGTTGGTATTTTTAGTTCAATAATATTAATATTCAATAATATTATTGAATATTTAGTTCCACATTTTTCTATAGCGCACATATAACAATACCCACCGACACTTGGTGTTTTCATAATCCTAGTCACATTTACCCACATAATTGTTTCAAATTTGGTACCTTGGAAGATTTCATAGATGATAATCCTTGAAGTATAAAATTGTCTGTAGGTGTTCCCGTTTTGGTATGGCCCCATATAACGACCTCATTCACTTTATGGTTTTTTTGACATATTTAACTGCATTATGCAAAAGGCCTTAGTGGCGTATGAAGTTTAAAGTGAAACACGCTTGAATTCGGATACTTTAATGCAAAAATGTTTCCTTATTTATGTTAATACAGGCCCACATTGTGGTATATATCCCATATAACAGTACCACTCTATATTCGGTATTTCCACGACTTTAGACACAGTTTCCATAGCAATCATTAAAAATCTGGAATTTAGAGTTCATAACGGGTTATACCCGTATATATTCTGTATTTTGAAGATTTTAGCCACAGTTAGTATAATTTGGAGTTTATAAGTTCCAGGTCCAAATTTTTGTATAGCCCCCAATAAAATGTACATCCCGAAATGCGGTATTTTGAGGATTTTAGACACATTTTCTAAGGAAATTACTTAAACTTGGTTATTTGGATTTCGTGAAGTGTTTTACTTCTGTAGCAAAACAGCTATTTAAAAAATTCGGCCGGGTCGAACTTAACTGCTTTCTTACATGTTTATTTTATGATGAAATGCCGAACTGATGGTCGACCCCGCCCGGTTTTTGGTCTATCCTTACTTGTTATACCCGTAGCCATATTACTGCAGAGGATATATATGTTCCCCCACAAAGGGTGAACACTTTGATTAATTTTAAGTCTTATATAATGTGAAATAATAGTATGATTGATTTCGCATATATGGTTATTTCAATCAACGCAAAATATGATAAAAGAGCGAATCTCTCCTGCTGGTACCTCCCCGACAATGGGTCGACTTTTTTGAATAGCCATTAGTCTCGTAAAACGCAAATAGATCATCCGCTTCCTTTCGAACTCGGCACATTCCAACTTTTCTGTCAACAAAAGATCTGATGTGAAGATAGAATATATCGGGTCACCCTATTTCGAACCTACCCACAAAAGGTTAAAATTTTGATTAACAAATATTCTCAAAAAATTGGAATAAATATTAAATGGTATCTGACGCACATATCAACATTTTCCGAAAATTATCACACATCTCATATAAAGTGATGAAAATGGACAATTTTGGCTTCCTCCCTCGGAAACTCCCCCATTAAGGGTCAACAGTTTGAAAAATTATAAAACAAGTCAAAATATATTTAAATAAGCGTATATTAACTGAGACTTCAACAACTCATAAATTGAGTGAAGCTGTATTTTCAGATGGACCAAACATACGAATAAATCGTTATTATTTCCTTATGTAAATGTAGTGTAATGGATTATCAACACATATTTATTTTATGTCGTCATCTGTGGATGGAGAATTAAATAAAAATTTAATCAGGAAAATATAAAAACAATTCAGGTTCAAGTGATAAGCCCACTATACTCTCCAACTACGTCATTTCTGTTTATAGATGCTATGCTATTCACTTTCTTATCAGCTTCAGATGTTCTTTAATTTCGATGAAATTTCTAAATTTTAGCCACACAAATATTAATGATTGCATTACAAATTTTGTGATTCTCGAAGAGAATAGCCTAAGTCGACTTATAGATCATTTGATATTTTCAATCATTCAGTCGATTACTTGGGTTAAAATAAATATATTGGTAATTTAACGAAAGTAGCTTTTAAGTGAATTGCCTCAAATAAACTGTAATACAGATTTTTTTTTTAACTCAAAAATATATTATAACAAATATCAAATATTTACTTTTTGCTTGCGAAATTGTACACAAGTCCTTTGCACAAATATTTTACTAATTGTAATTTGATAAAAAAAAAACTTTTAATTAATTAATTCATTGAATGACATATTATTTTTTATAAAATATTTTTAATAACCTTAATACATATCTGAAAATATTGACTTTTCGACATGAGCGCTTATCTGTAAAAACCACAGACTAAATACCCTGTGTTTTCCAAACAGAATCTTCTCTGCTTTCTTTTCAATCGCTGCTACACAGCGTGAATAAATTGTGTCATGACTCAGTGTCACTGCAGCGTTCGTGGTTTAAACGTCACAACTAATTCAGATCAATTGAAATGAATTTAAATATTTTTTTTATTTTGTTGCTTCTGGGTTTGATTTCCTTTGTCAAAAGTGGAATTGTATCTCCCCTCGAAGGGGGTTACAATCAAGTGGTCAGTAAAAAAAAAAGAATCAGGAAGGTTATTATTTTGAAGCTTAAAAACAATTCAAATGCATTTTTAGGATGTTCCCCTGAGACGTGTCAAAAGATCTCAAAATATTGACAGCCCATCAGAAACGGATAATGGCAGTAGCAGAAAACGAGAAAAGAAATTCTTTCCAGTGTGGGATGATGCGAATGGTGAATATACCGAACAAGAAAGTAAAAGCAAGGGAAACTAATGGAACTTGGGAAAATTCATCAGCATTTTATATTTCACTTTGAAAACTTATCATCTTTTTTGTTATAATTAAATAAATCTGTGCATCCGTGATGGTTAAAAATTAGCATTAAATTTTTTTTTTTGATTAAGCATGATCTGAAATATATAACAAACAAACAATCGAAACAATGTAGAGCACCACAACCAAGTGATGAATCATTATAAATACCATGGACAAATTTAATACAACAGTCAACTCTCTTTAGAACTTTTTAGGACGCAAAATGCACAATTTGTTCAGTTTTCCAAAAATGTTTTATTAAAACTTCATACATCGTACAAAATTTTCAGACTTTCAAAGTTTTGTACATTGTTCAACTTTCTCCTTTCTCAAAAAAATGGGAAGAAAATATTTACCTTTGACACAAAGAAGTTTTCAAAATCTTTCATTTAAAGTTTTTCGAGGAGGATATTAGTAAAACCATTGCACAATGGACCCACATCCAAATTTTCTGTCCTAAACTATTTCAACGTCTCTATATGTAAATCCTCAATATCAACTTTCAAAATTTCAGCTCTAATCAATATCAAAGTTAATAACACTTAGAACGCATATCCAGAACAATATACATATTTTTATCATAGACTTCAACAGTGATCCAAAATTAGTACTATTCAGTACTTTTGGTACAATTTTAGTACTCATTAAAAACACGTTCAATACCTCAATCCTAGTCACCAAAAGCTATCGTAATATAAAATTTCACGGTTTCAGCTCTATCCCTTCCCCAATACCAAATTTAGTTTAGTTTAGTTCTTTTCGAACAACTAAAGTAAGCATTTCCAAACCCACCTTCAAATATCAACCTGAAATAGCAATAGTTATATAAATATCATATTTAAGAAATTAATCACTATCTCTTCAACTAATTCCAAATTTGAAGATTCCGGTTCTATTCTTTTACCAAATACCAAACTTAATACCATTGAAATTACTACCATCCCAAATTTCAGTATTATAGCCCTATCGGTTCACATAAACCAAATTGTACCAAATTTAGAAGGAACACAAGAAGGAATTTCCAAAACTTCCTTCATACCCCAATCCTACACTCCAAGAGTAATCTTAATTCCATACACATAAGTATAAATTTTCAAAGCTACCTACATACCACAATCCTACACACCTACAGTAATCTCAATTCTAAATTTCAGAATTCCAGTCCTATCGGTTCACTCAGGTCCTAATTGTTCCAAATTCAGTACTATTTGTACACATAAGTGCGAATTTCCGAAGCTTCCTACATACACCAATCCTACACTGCCACAGCAATCCCAATTCCAAAGCATTCCATCCTTATCGACTCGCCTAAATACAAATTGTGCCAAATTTAGTATCATACAGTACAGATAAGTACAAATTTCTAAAAGTTCCTACTCAACCCAATCATTCCAGGATTCCAGCTCTATCGGTTCACATAAATCCAATTGGTTAGTACATATAAGGGTCAATTTTCAAAACTACATACATATCCCAATCCTACACTCCGACATTGACCTTATTTCCAATTTTCAGGATACCAGCTCTATTGGTTCACACAAATCTAAATTGTTTCGAATTTAGTACCATTTGTCCACTAAAGCACATTTTTCGTATCTTCCTACATCATACAGCCCAATAGAAATCTAATTTTCAAATTTCGGGGCTACAACTCTACCGGTTTATCCAAAATTTGAATTGTACCAAATTTAGTACACTTAGGTTCGAGTTTCCAAAACTTCCTACATTTCTCAGTCCTCGAATGTAATAGTAATCATAGTATTTCAAAATTTCGGAATTCCAGCTCTATGGGTTCACACAAATCGAAATTGTACCAAATTCAGTACCATTTAGTACTTTTTGTGCACATAAGTACAAATTTCAAAAACTTCCTCCATATCCCAATCCTACACTCGGCCAGTAATGTTAATTTCAAATTTCAGGATTTCAGTTCCTTCCGTTTCTCCACATTGTTCTAAATTTAGTACCGTTTAGTACTTTTCGTATTTATGAATGCACTATTCCAAAACTACCTCCTTACATCGACTCTACTCCTCAACCTGGATTCCAATTTAAAATTTCAAGTTTTAAGCTCTAGCCGTTCACATGATACGAAATGTAGTACATTTTCGCACATTTATAGTGCGAATTTCCAAAAACGTTTTGGTACCTCTATCATAAACTTCATCAGGAATCCTCATTCCAAATTTAAGAGTTCTATCTCTACTGCTTCCTCAAATAAAAATGGTATAATATTTAGTACCTTTTACTACTTTTCGTACCGTTATAGTACACATTTTAAAAAATCGCAACCTCATGTGATCCGTTCGAAATTTTTTGAAATTCTTACTAAAAGATTACGAAAAGTACAAAAATTGAATACTTTGTATTGGACAAATCGGAATACAGGATAGATCTAGTTAAGTGTTTTTGTGAATTCGAAGATTACGAACGGTTCTAAAATCGTACAATTTAGATAGAACGGATAGAGCTAAAAACTTGAAATCGAATATGAGAATCAAGGTTGGAAAGTAAGTTTGATATATAACCAGTAAAGAAAGTCTTAAAGTCGGGCGGGGCCGACTTTATGATACCCTACACCACTTTGCTAATTTTGTAGAGCTGCGCATAACAATTAAAAGTTTTTTATGGGAGAATTCAATCATACACGCCATGATTATAATTATAATTTAAAGTTCAAATATGCCGTAGCATTTGTATCTTTTATATTCGGACTTGTATTGCCCATTTGGGGCACAATTATTTTGAATTCGGATAAAGATATATATGGGAGCTACATCCAAATCGGAACCGATCTCGATAAAATTTGGTAAAGATATTTCTGAGCTGTATTTGATATATTTCCCTGAATATCGTTGTTACGGAGTGCATATCACGGCTGTGGGTAACAAATATGACAAATCGGATGAACAGTATATATGGGAGCTATAGCTATATCTGAACCGATCTTCACCAAATTTGGCATACTACCTTCTAGACTAAATTCGGTCGTATGTGCCAAATTCCATCCCATTTGGACAAATATTAGACGTTTGGTGCACAATAAATGGTAAATCGGACGAAGTTATATATGGGAGCTATATCCAAATCTGAACCGATCTCGATAAAATTTAGCAAAGGTATTTCTGAGCTGCATTTGATATATTTCCCCAAATATTGTTGTTACAGAGTACATATTACGGCTGCGGAGGACAAAAATAACAAATCGGATGAACAATATATATGGGAGCTATAGCTATATCTGAACCGATTTCGATAAAATTTGGCATACTTATTTTCAGGCCTAATTTGGTTGTATGTGCAAAATTCCATACTATTCGGGCTGATATTACACGTTTGGTGCACAATAAAAGGCAAGTCGGACGAAGATATATATGGGAGCTATATCTAAATTTTTACCGATTATCTCCAATTTCAATAGGGTTCGTCCTTGGGCCAAACAAATGTTGTTTGCAAAATTTCATCTCAATCGGATAATAAATGCGACCTGCATTTTGTTCACAAGAATACATGGACAGACGGACGGACGGACGGACGGACAGACAGACTGACATGCATAAATCAACTCAGAAAGTGATTCTATGCAGATCATCAAAAAGAACTATGGGTCTATCTCGTTTCCTTTTGCCTGTTTCAAACAAATGCACAAAGACATAATACCCTGACCACCTTGTGGTGTAGGGTATAAAAATGGTTTTGGCAATGTGTACTGTACAAAATGGTACTAAATTTGAAAAAGTTGGGTTTAGGGTGAAACGTTGAAGCTGGCGGACGAAGCTGGCATTTGATATATGAAGATGGTTTTGGCAATATGTGCTGAGTGTGCAAACTGTACAAAATGTTAGTCAATTTGAAAAGGTTGGGTTTAAGGTGAACCGATGATGGTGTCATTTTGAAATTTTGTATTGGGTCCCTCTTGATGGTAGGTTTGTGATGAATAGGTGGTTTTGAAAAAGTGTACCACAAATGCAAGAAAAGTACTGAACATTACCATACAGGGTGAGATAAAAAAACGGCAACAAGTCAAACGCCATAATTTTTACATTTTATGCCCTACACCACAAGGTGAGCAGGGTATTATGTCTTTGTGCATGTGTTTGTAACAGACAAAAGGAAACGAGATAGACCCATAGTTCCTTTTGATGATCTGCATAGAATCATAGTCTGAGTCGATTTATGCATGTCCGTCTGTCCATGTATTTTTGTAAACAAAGTACAGTTCGCATTTATTACCGGATCCAGATGAAATTTTGCACAAATCATTTGTTTGGCCCAAGGACGAACCCTATTGAAATTGGAAATAATCGGTAAAAACATTTAAAACATACAAATGCTTCGGCATATTTAGTCTTTTGAACAAAAATCGTCAGGCAAAATCCCATTATTGTTGTTTTTATAAAAACAACGTTTGTTTATTAGTGGAGAACGATGGTAATGTTTACCAGGGGGTAAGGCAGGGAATACCTAGGTTTCGGAAAGAGCCACCAATCCTCATCAGTTCCCTTGTTTCTTGTCTGGGATATTCTCCCCAGAAGTTATTTAAAAAATAACTTCTATGACAAAAAACATTTTTTACCCAAGTGACGAGATCGTAAGCTCAATAGAAGAGGAACAAAAGAATTACATAAAACTAAAATTCTTTTGGAAAATCTTCTAAATCTTACAACCGCACTTATAAACATTTACATCTTTCTCCACTTGTTATGTTTTCGTTCAACCTGAACGAAGTAACATAACCATGTAAGTTTGTTTTGTCTGTTACAACAAACTTACAACTAATAAACAAACGTTGTTTTTATAAAAACAACAATAATGGGATTTTGCCTGACGATTTTTGCAACAACAAAATACTATGGTATCCCAAACAAGCAAGCCAAACACTGTTCTATAGTCTTTTGAACTTTAAATTATAATTATAATCATAGCGTGTATGACTGAATTCTCCCAAAAAAATTTTAATCGTTATGTGGAGCTCTACTAAATTAGCAAAGTGGTGTAGGGTATCATAAAGTCGGCCCCAACCGACTTTAAGACTTTCTTTACTGGTTTTAAACTTTATTGAA